CTTTCTTGATACTGGCAAATCCAAGCCTTCCCAACGGTGAATTTTTCTGCCTAGCTTTTAATTTTATCCAGCTATGGCACTGTTTATATTTTATTTTAAACTGCATTGATATTTCGTTGCAGAGGCCTTTTTTTTTAAAGTTGAGATCTTATGCAGAAATGCGTTTTATATATCAGCAAGGGCTCCCAGTCTCAGAGATGGAGACTGCCTGGGAGTATGAATATGCTCAAACCCCACCCAGGCAAAAGAGGAAGGTGGGCAACTGGCAGAAAAACGAGGGGTTCTCACTGCTTGGTCCCTGCCAGCCAACGCAGAAGGAGCTCAACATCCGCGCAAGCATCTGGTTCCTACTCTTGTAAGAATTCTGTCTTACTTCCAGCATTGAAGATGGTTGGAGATATTTAGATGGTGTTGGGAAATTTGATTCTTGTTAGGAGAAACTGATTCTTAGTTTGAAATGGTGGGTAAAACATTTTTTTTGGAAAGTTTGGGCTGAAAATGGGATCTTTGCTCCAGATCAGGTAATTGTTAATGATACTGCCTCAGAAAGCTTATTTTTCCCCCCAGAGGCTAATCCAACAAATCAATTGATCAACAATTAAAGAGTTATACTAAATTAAATATAGCTAATATACAAGAAAGCTGGAATTTCCTATTTTATCAAATCAATAGTCTCATGTTTTAAAAAAGGTGGAATACATTTCTTACTATCTTAAAATGAGATTGATTTGTTAAAAATGTGGAGGTTTACTGAACTCCTCCGTGGTTGTTTTAAAAAGCTTGGTTGCCTCCTGTGCCTGGATTATCATAAAAAAGACTGTTAATGTTCTTCAACAGACACTTATATATTGTGTACAAAAGGCTAGCTTAATGAAATGTGTCGATCTTTGAACGGACTCTTCATTGGTGTAGACTGGACAATATGATTCCATAAACTTGCTTAAAACCAGAGTTGTATTAATTTACACGCACCCACGCGCACACACACACATATATATATTATAGTATACTATTCAGTTGTTTACTTGTTCTTTTTATTTGTATTCATGTTTGGTTTTCTTTTTGTTTTGTAGTTATAATAAATCAATCAAGATAAAAGTTAAATCAAAACAGTTACGTATGAAGAAATGTCCTTTTAAATGGGGACTGACTCATTCATCCAGGAGCCCAAATGACATTAAAGACAGCATGAAATTTGGCTAAAGATACCCCAGCTTGCAGAGATCTTCAAAATAAATGTACCCTTTCACCCTTGACGTGAAGACTCTAGCTGACAGCCAAAGCTACAGCTGTTCTACTGGGTTCCAGGTTCATATAAAATCACATTTTATTTTATATGAACCCAGGGTTCATATAGGATTTTATTTCCTGCATTATATGCTTGCCTTTTTTCCCAGCCTGAAGTGCTTTGTATTTTTCCATTTTATCCTCTTGTCTACCCTCTAAGGTTGAGATTAGCATAAGATCAACTTGGGAGAGTCACGGACAAGTAAGGATCTGAATCCAATTCTCTCCAGTCCAATCTAGCAATCTGTCCATCACTATGCACCTTGGAAGATGCACTTCTCTTTGGTCAGACCAGGACTTACCCTGCCAATCAAATTCATTTCAGGGTTTGATAGAACGAAGATGCGAGGACCCCTCTCCCTCCCTGCATCATTCGTTCTCTTGAACATTTGCTGAAGTTTTATAAATATGCCAACATCCCTACAGAACATGTTACTCGTGTTGACCTGACCCTCATAAATAAGGTAGTCTTAGCCTTCAGACTCCTCTGCATTTGCAAGTCTATCAAGTTTGCAGCAGCAGCAGCATCATCATCATCATCATCATCATCATCATCATCATCTCTCTCTCTCTCTCTCTGTTTTGCTCTCCTTAAGGGCCCTGTGCAATGCTGATGCGTTGCCTGCCCCATCGTAGTTCAGAGATTCCGCCCCCCATCCCAAATACTCGTCTTTTCTAAAAGCCAATTTGTCAGGGATCCTGTTGGGGAAGAAGGCTTGTTGACTGCTCCCTGTCCATTCTGGCCCAGATTATAAGCATATTGCACTGCTCTCTCCACACGAGGCCTGGGAAATCCAATACGCTGAAAGGTTAATGCAATCAATTAGGGTGACATGGAAGTAAAGGGAGGCTTCTGAGTAGATGAAAAAGAGAGACAAAGGCTGAAGAGGCCTCACCAGGACATAGGGAAAAAGATAAGAACATAACCCCCAATTTTCCTCTACACATTATACCTGAGCAAACCCCAGTTCACTGTCAGTTGTCCAATAACCTATCCTATATAGCCTAAGAGATGTTATTATTTTGGACAAAGCTTCCAAAAACAAAACAAAACAAAAAATAGGAGAGACCTGAGAGATGGGGGCTGCCCAACATTCAAAAGAGATATAAATAAGACAAAAGGTCAACTGCAGGATTATCATCTCATTTGTTCTTCATCTTCTCTAAATGTTTGGTATGCGTTCTTTGCACAGAATCGAGGAGAACCCTTTCATCCTCCTGAAAATGTTGGATAAAACAAAAACCAAGAATACACAGAATCTGAACATTTCAGGGAATGATCCAGAAGCAGGATTATCATCTCAGTTGGTCTTCATCTTCTCTAAATGTTTGGCATGCGCTCTTTGCACAGAATAGAGGAGAACCCTTTCATCCTCCTGAAAATGTTGGATAAAACAAAAACCAAGAATACACAGAATCTGAACATTTCAGGGAATGATCCAGAAGCGGGGGGGGGGGGGCCTCCCCAACGAGGCCGCAGGTACAAGACAATACATGGCAAGGAGATTCAGAAAAGGTGCAAAAAACAAAAATGCCACAGTCCCAGCAACACATCTTCACAGAAGAAAATAACCCCTCTTGCCCCAAACAGAAGAGTGACACTCAAAGAAATTGCAATGGTCTGTAAGTGCCATAAGGAGGTTGTTGTGGGTGGGACAAGCAGCAAGCAGAGTTAATAAAAAGCTCCCAAAGCCCCAGATCCTTTGCTTTACAAGGGGTTAATATGACGATAACTTTTTCTGCCCCAAGGACTTCACCTGGGTGTCTGAAATGCCAGTGCTAGCCCCAAGGAGCCTGAAAAGGATTTGCAAGCCAAACGCTGCTGCGTCAGGCAAGGCCTCCCACACTTAGCAGACACCAGCATTTCAAGCCCAGGGAGGCAACGACCCTCTCAAATCATCAGAGGGCAAAAATCCTGGTCCTTGGAAGCCAAGAGCTGGAGTGGGAATGGGAAAACTTGACCCAAGTGGGGGAGGCTAGAAAAATTGGGGAAACACCGTCTCCCCTGAGATTTTTCCAAAGTGTCTCCTCCAGTCCTCCAAGCAGTGCAAGAAGACCAGTGTCTGGAAGCAGAACCAGCAGAAGGCCACAGAGATCTAGGAGGGAAGAGTAAAATAGATCTGAGAAGGGGGGAGATCTATGATGAAGCAGCGAGGGATCATGAAAACAGGAGAGGGAGGGGAAGGAGAAGGAGAAGGAAAGAGCTGTAACCACGGTTGTGAAGGCTGCAAAAAGAAGCATCCGCCTGTTCCTTTGAGCACTCAAGGCAGGGTGCTCAGAGGGTGACCTACACCATGCCTGGCTGTGATCGCATTTCAGGGCCACTGCCTGGCAATCCCAAGACAATAAAAGGGCGCCTTTGAAGTCAGAAAAAGAAACTGAAATGCAAAAACTGGAGGCATTTTTGCAGGGCTGGGGGCAGAGATGTGTGTGAAGTGAAGGGCCAAGTAGGAGGGTGGGGAGGTTGAGAGGACAAAGCCGAGAGTCGGGAGCCCAGTGGGGCTCCCTGAAACCAATAGGGATAAAAAGAAAACAAACAGTTTATGAGTGGGGCACATGCTGCCTCTGTCTGCCTTCGCCTTCTTCTCCCCCCCACTAAGCCCCCTGTCTCCAGAGAGGCCATGTCAATGATGGATGGATGAGCAAGCCCCTACCCATTCTTGCCGTGTTGCAGCAGAAATATTTACATAACATTGGCCTTCTATCGGTCACCTCTGACACCAACTGGGCTTGGCTCCCTGCATGGATCGGCTAGGAAAGAGAGAGGCCCTGCTCACTCCCTCTCTTGACACCTGGCTGAAGAGAGGAGAGGACAGTCAGGGAGCAGGCACCCCAATGTTCTCAACTGAACCTCCGGAGACAGATATCAGACAGCTGAAGACGGGGGGGTGGGGTAGGGGGAATTTTTAAAATTTATGGCCCATGCTCTAACACGTTCTCAGGACAGCTAACCCAGCAGAGTTCTCAAAAATCTAGAGAAATTGTGAATTCTGCCTGGCTCAGGGGAGGCAGGCCTCGGAAAAAATGTTCCTTGTAAAAGCAGCCCAGCTGAGAGAACAGCTGCAGCCCAGAGTTCTCCCTGAGCTGTGTCCTAGGATGTACACATGATTTCATCCCTGCCACCTCTCCCAAAATGGGGGGGCGATGCACCTCTCCCCTTAGCACAATTCAAAGTGGTAGAGTTCAGGGGCTGAACGATCAAGAGAGGAAGCCCTGCTTTGGAGGAAAAAGAGGGGCAGAACTAGGGCAGCCCTCACCTAATGCGATGACAACTCCTAACTGTACAGGTCCACAGGTGGCCTGGTTAATCTAAGATGCTGACAACTAAGATTTCAAATCGATGTCTTCTGAAAGAAGATCTGCAAATCCTGTTGTACAAAGCTTCTTATAAACTGAAAGCATTTTAATAATATTCCTCAAACTGGTCTTTCCCCTTCCCTCCCCACAAGAGAGCAGGCTGTCACTTGGGCACCACACATGGCCAACCAGCTACAGTAGCTGTGTGGCATCAGAAGGAAGCATGTCCCCGTGTCTCTCTTTGCAAGACGCGGCTGGGTTGCCATTCCCTAGGTCTTTTCCTGCAGCTTTATATTGTCTCTTTTAGGCTCAGGGAAGTATAAAGCATCAGAGAGGCCATCCAACGAGCTGAAGCACCACACTGACACAGACATACAAAAAAAGTAGGAAAAAAGATCCCGTGTGGGCAGACATACCCATTTGTGGTCCTGGCAGGCTCTCCTACCTTTCGATAAATCTGGAATCAGATTCCGCAAATTGGTTTATTGTTTTAAAGCTGTGAAGTCACTTCATCCTGAGGAGGGAAAGGGAAGGGAACATGGTCAATTCTGGAGACCACGCCACTTGGTAAGACACATCATCACTGACAATTTAGCAGGCTGTTAATGCAGAGGCTGCCCCAGTGTTCCCATTTCATCGTTATAACATTTGATTTAGCCAGTGATGTTAATGTTAAATTATTGCGGGAAGATCCAAACCTCACTCACCTGCAGTACTCAGAAGTGCATAAAATAGAATCTGAGCACAGTTAAAAAAAAAAAAAGTTTTAAGAGGGTTAATTATCTGCACCTTCCTTACATTTTATGCTTATTTTTGTTGCTGTAAGCCACCTTGCATCAGCCTGTTTGTCTGTTAGGGAGGGCAGCAGGCTCATTTCAGATGTACTGCTAAGGAAAGCCCAAAGTGAACCTTCTTGTTCCCATCCGAAAACTGCCTTTGCAGTGGACATCTTGGCAGACAGGGGAGAAAAGTCACAATTCAAAAGAATATATTCAATTTGTTTGTTTATTGAAAATAAAATTTGGACAACAACCCTTTCAATCAAACTAAAAGCAAAAAAAAAAAAAATCTTACATAAGACAATTCATAAAACATTATAAACAACACCATATATCTTGCTATCATGTAATTCAGTTTAATTATTTGTGACCTTAATCTGAGAGCAGCAATTTTAACCCTATGTACAGTTACTACCTTGTTAAAACCAGAGAGGAGATACGCAGCACATTAGTCTCTTGTCCTACCTAGGGAATAAGGTCAGAAGTGGGGCAGACTATGTTCAACTGAAAATCAGGACAGGGGTCTTCAACATGGACTAGAATCTCTGTTTTAGAATCGCTGTCTTCTGACATCCTTTAGATTTGCAGTTTGAATGCCTGAACAAGCAGGATTAAACTGAAATATTTGACTAATGGAACTTAACGCAGGAATTAGTTACTGCTGTTTGAAAGAAGAGGCAAATGCTCAGTTGCAGTCACTCTTTTCTCTTTCTTTTTTAAAAGATCCATGCCTTGGGGCTGTGGGGCGGCAGGGGTGGGTGGGGGACAGGAGTGCCCTCAACAATTAGCAGCAAGCTTCAGCAACATAAGCTTCAAAGGTAAGTCGTATGAGGTGTGCGTTCTTCTTACAGTCCTCTCCACATCTTGCAACAGTTGCAATAAAAAAGAAACAAACAAAAATCATGCAAAGTAAATTGAATTATTTAGAGCCAGATGTTCCCAAACTGTGAAGAAGCCTAAAAAAAGAGCCATATTGTGCGGCTTCCGATTGGGAGCCTCCTTGTGCTTGGACGGAGAGAGGAGGGAAGGAGGTAGAACCAGCTGCTTACAAAACAGCTGGCAACGGGTTCCTGTTTCCCTCTGATGGCTGGAAGGTGACGTACCTGCCTGTTCCACACTGGGTCTCCTGGCCCGCTTGGTGGATGTACCTAGCCTGGGATATAACTCACAGGGTGGAGCAACTTGCATATGCGTCACAGTCGTAGCAATTCCATTTCCGCTACATGGTGGCATGGATTAGAAAGCATGTTTCCCTTCAAAAGTCCATGATTATCACTAATTTGGGGGCGGGGGGGAGGAATGGCATACAAATATCTTGACCTCTAACTCTGGGCCCCTCCACTATTTATCCCCCCAAAAGCCACCATATGGGGGCAGGCATATATGTGGAAGCACGGCAGGGTCCCCCATTGCAGCTGGGGGTGGAGAAAGAAAGGGGTCTCCGGGGAAGGGAGAAGGGGTTCTTTGAGGAAGGGGAGCTTGCGTGCAACAAAAAGATTTGCCCGACTGAAACAGCAACTAGGCTGGAGTTTCCAAGTACTGCAGAATCCTCCCAAGCACCTTGCAAGGCAGGGCAATGTTTTCACACACATCCTGCCGGTGGAAGTGGGGGAATGGGGGCGGAGCGGCGATGGTTCATCTGATGCCGCTCTGGGGGTTCACTGGTGGGATGAAATCGGAATGCTTCCAGCTTCGCATCAAACTACACGAGCTACTTTGTAAGAGGAGTTAAAGCCTCCTCGGGATGTCTCGTTCTGTGGCTTAAGTCCTCAGACAAAGCGAGCTAGAAGGCACTAAGAGGCAAGCAAGAGGTGCTCTGCGCATGAACAGAGCTACCACTGCTATCCTATCCTCTTTAGTGCTTCAGAAGTGCCAACAGCAGGCCCTGACTTTAAATATTTAAACCCAAATATTTCAGCTGTAGCAGAGTCTCCTCGATGTCTCCCCCTCCTCTTCTTCCTCCTCCTCTTTTTGCATTTTTCACTGCCTCCTTTTCCTCCTCTCTCTGGCCACTTCTGGATGCCATCGCCTCTTTCTACCCTCCCTGCCCATCCCATCCCTCACCCGTTACCGGATTTAAAAAAAAAAAAAGATTTCAGCACCTCCCCCCCATGCGCTCTTCCGACACTCACGCCCCCATTTATTATTTTGGCCACCACGGCTTATCAATGATGCAAGAGGAGTAACGCCAATTTACTTAGAACGTGTAATCCCCCAAATCAGATTGGGGGATTGTATGAGGCAGGCTGACCTTGCATATGTCTCCATCAAAGCCATCCAAGCCTCCGCTTGTATTCTGTGTTCCCAGCACATATTTAGACAGATAACACTAATTGTACTTGACATGTCCTCTTAAGGATGGACTCTCGTCTCCTCCTCAGCGCTCCCTGACAATCAGCCCGCCAAGGCAACGGAAGAGCTGCTCTCTTCATCTAGCGCAGGGCGCAGCCAGACTAGGCTAAGCTGCCACCGAGGCCAGGTTCCAGGCTCTGGCCCGGGTCTCCTTGTTCAAACCACAGGAAGGGAGATGCTGAAGCCAATCCCCAAAGAACCCAGAGGGGGTCTTTGGGGCTCCGTGTGCTGCCCAGGTATGCTCCTTTCTGGGCCACTGTTAAGCAGCGATTAAAAACGGCAAGCCCCCTAAAACATAAGCCAGGATTGCTCCCTCCTACCTCCTGGCTCTTTCAGTTCTTGCTGCTCTTTACTACATAGTCAACAGTCTATCTTGGATGCTTCCACATTTTCTTTTGCAGTAAAACTCCCAGGTAGACCTAGTTCCCCATTGTACCCATTTTACAGGTTAGCCACTCATGAACTAGTCATATGCTTTCCCCTCCCACCTATATTTTGCAGGATTTATGCCTGGTAGCATTTTTAACACTCAGGCTCCAGGCCTCTGCTTTTTTTCACTGTCAGAAAAAAGGGAAAAGGGGGGAAAAAGAAGTAAAACCCTAAGGCAACCTCATGATCTCATGATTCTGCCAGGTTGATACAAGAGACTGAAGAGAGGGGGAAACATCTTTGAGAGGCAGCCTAACCAAAAGACTGCATTAAGAAACAAACAAAATATGGCATTAAACACCCAATTAAACGCATTTATAAATGTTAAGTTTATTTTAAACAGAGATTATTATTACATGCCTCATACTTTCTTTTTGCTGTTTCTCCTAGAAATTGCCCTTCTTTGACATCAGAAATTTCAAACACACATCTGTGCCATTTATGCTTTCAGAGAGAGAGAGCGAGCTTGTAATATTAAGGACTAGAAACTTCTTTTTAATGAGAATTTGCCATTTCTCAGGATGCTGAAATCCTCCGCTTGGTACTGGAATTACCCACAACCTGGTTTATGGTGCCAGCTGCGTGCAAATCCGCAGCCACCAAGGGGAGTGCTTGGTATCCCTCCTCTTGACCTCGGAAGCTGTCTTGACTGGCAGCAAAGTCTTTTCCCCGTATGAATATTCATACCTCTCAGGAACACGACCCTGATTCACCAAGCACAACCTGAGGCTGGACTACTCCCCTGACTCAGCTGCTTCATTTGGAACAAACTCAGACATAAAACTTTCTGTTGCACAGGTGGACATTCGGCCTTCCCTTTACCCTTTCCAATCAGAGTGTCTCTTAATTTGACTTTTTCCAATATCCCTTCTCTACCAACCTTTTTTCCCCCTCTTCTTCCTCCCCAGCAACTGCGTATTTATTAATTCATGAGGCACTAATTAGTTCTTTGTTTAATTTTGTGTTAAACAGACTGACCGGAATGATAACGACTTGCAGTGTTGCATTACGGTCCCCAACCGCCCCTGTTTTCTGACAACAAGGGAGTACAGAGAAACTGACGTGATGAACCCCAATTCCCACTTCAGTTGCACTTCATTAAGTCAAAATGTGACAAGAAGCTTAGAGAGTAACTTTCAGATCGGATCACACATAACAATTGGGCAGGAAAGTTTCCAAAGGGGGGTGAAAAAAACAGCGGCAGAAGTGCCTCTGAATGAAAGCTGGCACTGGCATGCAATTCCCCCACCAGTCTCATCTTAAAGGAACAGCAGACACACACGAGCGGACAGAGGCATGACTGCAGCCAGCCACACATTTTTCCTTGCCTTTATGGTGACTTGGTTGGGCAGGAGGAGCTCCCTACACTGTAGTCTCATTCAAGAGACACGGGGGGCCTAGTGGATGGAGCTCATTTGTCTGAACATCCATAGACGAGGAACAGGGCAATCTCCGCATCAAAAGACATCAAGGTTCTTCCATTCTAATCCAAGCTCGCTTCATACTTCGCAGCTAAACCATGACCTCACTCTTCTCATTCAGATCTCCTCTTTCATTGCTAGTTTAATGATTTGCTGTATCATTCAATATCATGTTTGGCAGCCGTCTCTGACTTGAACAGAACAGAATTTGTTTCCATTCAGCCATCATGGCAGACACAATAAGGGAGGGAGCAAGAATAAGCAAGCACCTTCCTGGCAGTTCAAACAGATTTGGTACTTAACTGTCAAACTAATCTTGTGCAACTGACTGGATTTCCTATACGTTTGGAGCTTTAATGTGGGATTTTTAGTGTTTAAAAGTTGAGCAATAAACTCACACATCTGAAATGGATGCTAAGAAATTTTCAGGATCAGTTCAAGAGATTCTGGGGTTGAACTGACAAATCCATATCTTCTTCCCATCTGAAATATTTCAATTAAATCAGAGACCTTATAATTTGATTTCTTTTAAA